CAACAGAAAAGACAAAAGAGGGGAACATTAATATTATAGATCCAGGAGGGACTTCACATAATGATGTTAGTAAAGTCTTGAAAGAAGTTGAAAATGCAGACAAGAAACAAGACAAGAATGCAGACAAGAACCGAACTATGACAGTGCAGTTTCATGCAAGAAGTACTGTTCCATTAAGCACAGTGCAGGATGTAGCAGGAAGTAACGTTCCACTGAACAATACAATGCTGTTGACCAATGAACATGCTGCAAAAGATGCTGAACTTATCAACCAGGCAGAGGATATTGTTACATCAAAAGAAGAAGTAGAAGCACATGATCAAGTTAACAACGCAGAAATTAAAGGTGGATACATGGAAGAGGAATCAACTACACAAAATTTCCTTAATGTTGCCAAGTAGGGAGATTTGTCTCCAAGGCTAATTGAACAAGTAAAATCTGCAGCAAAGGGAAAAAAGAAACAGTCAAAAGAGACTTCTACTGTCCCAATTAGTGGAGTACAAACAAGGAGAACACTGTCCAAATCCCAAAACATTTAATTGATGCCATTATATGGAATGTCAGGTCAGTAAACACAATGCAAGCATTTGAAAGGCTGATTACAATGCACATAAAACATCATTTTGAGTTCATAGGAATCCTTGAGCCTATGCAATAGTCTCACAAAATGGAGAGGTATAGAGCAAGAATTGGTTTGGCACAGGCTGTGGTGAATGTATCAAACAAGATTTGGGCTTTTATTGATGATATTTTTGAGGTTACTATTTTATATATCATGACTCAACAGCTGACTTTGAGATTAATGCACTCTGAAACACATGTTGAGCTCATCCTTACACTAGTCTATGCCAAATGTGATCGCACTGAAAGAATAGAACTATGGGATACGTTGTATGCAATGGCATCAAATATAACGGTACCTTGGCTAGTTGGAGGCGACTTTAATATGATATGGGATGAGGAAGAGAAATACGGGGGCTTGCCAGTTTCTCTCATTGAAGTAGATGACTTCAGACACTGCATCAATACCTGCAATTTGACAGACTTGGGTTTTAAAGGAAGCATTTTTACATGGTGGAATGGAAGATCAGAGGAGGACTATATTTTTAAAAGATTGGACAGATGTTTTGGCAATAATGAATTGCAACAGGCATTTCTTGGATTGGAGATAACTCACCTATCCAAAATTGGGTCTGATCATTGCCCAATGCTGCTGAAATGTGATATAGAAACTCCTCCAATTAAGAAGTCATTCAGATTTCTTAACTTCTGGACAAAGCATGAAACCTTCAAAGATGTAGTAAAGGAGAATTGGAATGCTGATTTTAGTGCTAACTCTTTCTGCATTTTTAACTACAAGTTAAAGAAGTTTAAACAAGCACTATCTACCTGGAGCAGAGCTACATGTGGGGATATATTCCAGAAGATTGCAAGCCTTGAGGAGGTGGTCTTGGTTCATGAAAGACAATTTGAAGTCAATCCTACACAGATGAATAGACAAAGATTAAAACAGGTCCAAGCTGAAATGATTAAATATCTTGCATTAGAAGAAGAATTCTGGAGACAAAAAGCTAGCATGTCATGGTTCAAAGATGGCGATAGAAACACTAAATTCTTCCACACTCAAGTTAATGGGATAAGGAAGAGACTGAAATTATCAAGGATCCAAAATAGCCTTGGTAACTGGATCGAAGAAGATCACTTAATAGCAGAAGAAGCAATAAAGTTCTACAAGGATCAATTTACTGAGACTGCAGTTCCAAATGATTTTGACATTCTAAATCATGTACCTTCAATGCTAGATAGTGATCAACATGAAAGATTGATGGCCTTGCCTTCCAATGAAGAAGTGAAGAAAGCAGTTATGGGGTTGAATGGGGACTCAGTTGGTGGACCAGATGGATTCACTGGAGCCTTTTAACAAACATGCTGGGAAATTATTGAAGAAGATGTAGTCCGCATGGTCAAGGCATTCTTTTGCGGTCAGCATTTGCCAAAGAGTGTGACGCATACAAACCTGGTTTTATTACCAAACAAAAAAGAAGTTACGACCTTTGCGGACATGAGACCAATCAGTCTTAGCAACTTTGTTAACAAGATTTTCTCTAGGGTTATTCATGAGAGTTTGGTTGAATTATTACCAAACATAATCTCGGAGGAACAGGCATGTTTTGTGAAGGGCAGAAGCATAGTTGAGAACGTGCTGTTAACTCAAGAAATTATTACGGATATGAGGTTGAGAACAAAAGCAGGTCCAAACGTTGTGATTAAGCTTGATATGACAAAAGCTTACGATAGGCTATCATGGCTATTCCTGACAAAAATACTAAGGAAAATGGGATTTCCCAAAGCTTTTATTGGCTTGATCTTTGATTTAATCGGGAATAATTAGTACTACGTTCTTATAAATGGTCAGCCTAATGGTTTTTTCACATCATCGAGGGGAGTTAACCAGGGTGACCCTTTGTCACCAACTCTATTCATTCTGGCAGCAGAAGAACTTTCTCGGGGATTGAATTCACTACACACTAACCTGTATTTCTGTGGTTTTGGAATGCCAAAATGGAGCCCAAAAATAAATCATCTATCATACGCTGATGATACGATCATTTTCTACTCATCTGATGAAACTTCATTGAGACTTGTCATGGAGGTTTTGAAAGCTTATGAATCATCATCTGGTTAACTGGTGAACAAATCCAAATCAGCCATATACATGCATCATTTAACTGATAATGAGGTGATTAACAAGGTGGAAAGGATTACAGGTATACCAAGACAATGTTTCCCTATGACCTATCTTGGTTGTCCTATTTTTTATGCAAGAAGAAGGGGAGAGACTATTACCAGGGATTAATCACCAAGGTTATGGACAAATTGCAGTCATGGAAAGGCAAACTCCTATCTGTAGGAGGCAGAGTGGTTTTGATCGCAAATGTCCTGCAGAGTATCCCAATTCATATGTTGTCAACAGTGAATCCACCAAGTTATGTGATCAACAAATTACATAGAATTTTTGCCAAGTTTTTCTGGAGCAGCAATGTGGGAGGCAGCACTAGACATTGGGCATCTTGGACTAACCTTTGTATGCCTTATGAGGAGGGAGACATAGGTTTCAGGTCCCTACATGATGTATCCAAGGCACTGTTCTGCAAATTGTGGTGAAATTTCAGGGCAAAGCCCAATTTGTGGAGTGCATTTATTAGTCAAAAGTACTACAAGAAACTAAATGCAGTAATTGTACCTTGGAAGGGTGGATCCCACGCGTGGAGAAAAATGCTAGAATGTAGGGACTTGATTGAGCATCAAATCTACTGGAAACTGAGAATGGGATCAGCTCTATTCTGGTTCGACAATTGGACTGAGATGGGAGCCTTATATTTTCAAGTATCGGCAGATTTTGGTATCGATGAGGATATTCATAATGTCAATGATATGGTTGAAAATGGTATATGGAATGTGGATAAAATATTTGAGAGCCTACTTGAAGGTTTGGCACACCACATTGTGCAGAATATTAGACCACCAACTGAAAGTTCACAGTTAGATACTCCTTTCTGGATGCATGAAACAAGGGGACATTTTACAATAAAGTCTGCATGGGATTACGTGCGAAGAAGATCCAACCCAAGATTAACTTACAAGATGATATGGGTAAAATGTTTACCTTTCAAGATATCCTTCTTCATGTGGAAGATGTGGAAAGCAAAACTGCCACTTGATGATTTATTGCGTAAACTAGGATACTCAATGCCATCTAAATGTTGGTGCTGTGTTGATCCTAAGGAGAAGTCATTACTACATCTGTTCTTCACATCCAATGCAGCTAGAAGTGTTTGGACTTATTTCCTAAGAAGAGCAGGAATTGCATTAGATAGGTTGTCATTACATCACGCAATTACAAAGTGTTGGACAACACCAGTTGTACCTAGATTGAAGCCAATATTACAATCTTTACCTGCATGCATTGTATGGGAACTTTGGAAGAGAAGAAACAGTTTGAAATATGGAGAAGCAGTGTTAGTGAGCAGAGTTATTTACCAGGTGTCGTCTACTGTGCAAGCACTTGTCCAACTGAAAAAGCCTGGACTATGTGTGCCTCAGAAGTGGCTGGACTTACTGACAATGATGGAGCAATACAAACCTCGACTGAAATATGATAAAGTGTTATGGGAATTTCCTTCAAGAGGATGGATCAAAGTTAATACGGATGGAGCATGTAGAGGGAGCCCAGGGAGGAGTTCAATTGGTTTCTGCATATGGGATGAGGTAGGTGATTTGATATATGCAGAAGGAAGGGAGATTCCTTAAGGAACCAACAATGAATCAGAAGCGGTAGCTATTGTGGAGGCATTGAAGATGTGCAAAAATCTTAATTATTTCTAGATATGGCTGCAGACAGATTCAATGTTGTTAAAGAACATCATAGAGGAATCATGGAAGCCTCCTTGGTATGTTACTAAACATGTAGAGGATATTTTAAGATTGAAAGAACAAAGTATCATCAAGGTCACACACATATTCAGAGAAGGGAATACATTAACAGACCACCTTGCCAATTATGCTCTAGATGAAGGAAATACTGAATGCCATGGTTTCTGGGATATGGACTCAATAGGAAGGAGGATTATTAACGAAGATAAGATACAATGTCCTTACATAAGAGTTAAGGTTGCAAGGAATTAGGAGGAAAAGAGGATTCATTTTGTTACCACACTCGAATCATTCTTGAGGAGAGTTTAGATAGCAATTTTTCGGCTAACTTGGTTCACTTTTTTGCAGGTATTTCATCGAAGCTAAAGACTAATCTTACAGTAGAATCTCAAGTGGTGGTATTAATGCATTGCATTCAATCCACTAGGAGAACATTAAAGGTGGGCTTTGGCGACTTTTACAATGTTTATTTCATGGCAGTCATTCACATCAAAGGGAAGTACTGACATCGCATGGGAAAAAAAGAGGGGCACGTGAAGTTATGGACAATAACAGATGCCAAAACGCTTGGAGAGTGCACCAGCACGCTAGGGAATTTCTAGGAAATGCAGGAATCTCACGTTTTGGATGATGCAAATGAAAGGGTATTCTTTTAATACAAAGCACTGTGCATTTTGGCCTTCACAGATTCCTACAAATCTGTTCATGTGCACACATGGTTTACTGTGGAACGCAAGGAAGAAAACACATGATGTCAACAAAAGTATCACATGGAAAAATGAAATTTATCTTGGATAAAGAAAAGCATGAGGCTGGAAATTTTCAACAGATGCTTTGCGACAGAAGAGTCATCGCATGCTTTCAGTTTACTAGGATACAAAAGTAGGTCGACAATGCATGTTTCCTGCGGAACACGCATGGCAACAGATGCACGCTGCACACATCTTTTGCTGGAGATGCACGCTTCACAGTCATTCAGACGTGAGAGAATCCAGCAACTTTATGCGACCAACATGTGGGAGATAATCTTGAGGAATATTGATGCACGCATGGACGCTGGCAGATTTGAAAACAAAAGCACATGCGGCGTGCTTTTTTTAGGAACAGATGAAATGCAGTATTCTATAACTGGATGCACGACTGCCTCGTTCGCGACTGACTTGGGAATGGGATTACTGCAATTTTCGATGGATGCTTTTCCATCAGTGCTTCAAGCACTAAGCAATGGAGACAGAAGAGTCAACTCACGCCTGGTGCCTTTAAGGCAAGCTGGACAATGAATTGCAATTACAATTTTGGTCGTGCATGAATTCTCACGTTGCTGGAGATGCACACATTACTGAAAACATGAACAAGAGAAGACAAGAATGTTTGTTTTGCATGCTGGAAAAGCAACATTGGAAATGATACATAAACAAAGGAAAAAGGCTGCCCCAAATTACTTTTAAAGAATGCCAGGATCGAAGCATGCGTGGGTGAAAATAACAAGGAACATGGGTGATAACCTACCAAAGCACATGAGAAGAGTGAGAAATAATATAATATTGTAATAAACAAAGACAACATGGAAGACAGATGTCTGCCAACTTTGATTGTTTATTCAATATAATAATGGCATGAGTAACATGGGTATGTGGAAGGAATGACAAGTCCAAAAACATCTTATAGTGAAACACAAGGAAATAGGCCTTTTCTGCAACCAATTTGACGCAGATTATGGCTACTTTTCAGCATACTACACATTTGAATTGGGCTTCAATGGACTGGAAATACAAGGAAGCAAAAGACATCTTTGGCCTAGAATTAATGTGATATCAATTTTGAGTGGAATGCACAATTTTGATAATAGGCTATTTGTTAAGTTCAAATTTTATTCCTTTCATTTTGTAGGATATCATGACTTTGTATTTTGCTTTTTAATATTGTTATATAAAAAATTAGCCCTAGGCTCTTGCCTAGCAGATTGCCAAAAAAAAACATGAGCTTGAACTCTCCATTTTGACCATGCTCCATTTCTTCCACCTTCCTATCCCTATAATTCTCATCACAAAAAGTAGAACCATCATAGCGGGGATTGGGGAAGGGAAGGACACATGAGCACAATTATCCCAGTGACCATTTTGACGACCACACTTATCACAAATACTCCACTAATGGGTTTGAGATTGTGTGCAGAATTCGCCCCCAGGAGAATTTAAACAATTTCGCCACGAGTGTGGTCCTCCACAATAAGGACAAAGGTCATCAAAGTATGAACAACTACCATCTGACCAATTATTATTATATGATGCCATTTTTCAAAAACTAAGAAAATAAACAAGGTACAAACAAGAAAAACAGACCAAGGCAAGAAAGATAATTACACAAATATTCACAAGTTTGGACCAAAGTGCATCTGCTTATTTCTCAAACAACCTAAACACGCCAAATTATTCTCCGGCAATGGCGCCAATTTTGATGAAGTACAAATCCACTACTATAAAGTAAATGGACACGGTCGCATGCAATATAATTTACCCAACTATGAGTCGGGATTGAATCCCAAAGAGAACAATATTTGGCGATTAGGAGCGTAAGAGAATTATCACTTATTATGCAATGCCAAACACTTAGAATGATTTTTGAGAAAATATTTATAACTAAATACGAAAATATAAACTAACATAGAAAGCAAGTAAAATGATCAATGGCTACAAGTATGGATACGCGAGGAATTACACTCAAGTAATGATCTAATGTATTTCACGATTTTACAAATATGAGCGAGTTTATATTAATTAGCCTCGAGTAATAATTCTATATTAGCTTCTTTCAAAGACTAACAAGACTTTCTAATTGAATTATCCTTAAAACAATTAAGAGATTAAGCACACCCGAATATGGCTACAAGTAGTTCAATCCTATCCCTAGATAGAATCTATAAAATGAGGGTTAAATCCTCAAGTTATTGTTAATTAATATTTCCCAAAAATAATTCAAAGTAAATGGGCGAGTCCTAGGGTTAGCTAATCCCTTTGGAAATATTAAAGAACAAAAATAATTAAAGAAAGAATAACTCACTTCATAAAAGATAAAAATCGTTCAATACATAAGCACAACAAGATATTTAATCCACACTTTAAATATGAATATTTTCGTAAACAAGATTCAAGTGTTGAATAAAATACTACATACTTAGATATACAATACAAAGCAAGGAAATGAAGAAATAAACATAAATAGGTAAGAAATTTTCAACTAAAGGCTTCAAAT